TAGACCTAGTAACCGCTACTCTTTGAATACGATCTTTTAGCCAGTTTTCTATCACATTTACATACGGATTTTTCCAAGCCTGTAGACTTTACCTTACATATTAGCCATGTGTGGGGAACTGTGTCAAACGCTTTTGCAAAATCCAAGTATACCACGTCCACCGCCACCCCTCTGTCCTAGGTTTTGCTCACTTCCTCATAAAAAGAAATCAGATTTGTTTGACAACTTCTGTCTTTTATGAATCCATGCTGTCTGTTGCTTAAAATATTTTTTTCCAGCAAGAACTCATCTATGTGGTCTTTTATTAAACTCTCCAGTATATTCCCAACTATAGAAGTTAAACTAAAAGGTCTGTAATTACTTGGTAAAGATTTTGACCCCTTTTTAAATATTGGCACCACATTGGTCTTACGCCAATCCAGTGGTAACATGCCAGTCATTAAAGAGTCCCTAAAAATTTAGAAACAATGGCTTTGAAATGACAGAGACCAATTCTTTAAGGACCCGTGGTTGTATGCCATCCAGTCCAGGTGCTTTATTCACCTTTATTCTGTCTAAATATTTCTGGATCATATCAATTGTGAGCCAATGTGGATCATCTGGAGCTGTGTCAATACCATGCCCATTATGGACAAGAGCTCCCCCATGTTTCTTTGTATACACAAAGCTGAAGAAGGTATTTAATAGATTTGCCTTCTCTTTGTCCCCAGTCACCCACTCTAGATTATTTTGTAAAGGGCCTACATGTTTGGACCGGATCTTTTTACTATTAATATATTTGAAGAATGTTTTGGGGTTGGTCCTGCTATCTTTTGCAATCTGGCGTTCGTTTTCAATTTTAACGGGCTCTATTTCCTTTTTGCATATTCTGTTATATTCTTTGTAATGTTTAAACGATGATAGCGTTCATTTTTATATGTAATAAAAGCTCTTTTCTTATTATCTATATCTTTTTTAATTTTGGCCGTAAGCCACACAGGTTTGATTTTTAGCCTTTTAAACTTGTTGCCCATGGGAATATATTTTGCAGTTTGTTCACGTACAGTCTTTTTGAAGAACTACCATTTCTGTGTTGTGTTCATTGATGCCAATATTCCCTCCCAGTCTAAGTCTTGGAGAGCAGCTTTCAGCCTTGGAAAATTAGCTCTCTTAAAGTTGAGCTTTTTTATTATTCCCGTATGTACTTGCTGTTTACAGTTAACAATAAATTAAATCATGTTATGGTCACTGCTACCCAGATGTTCTTTTATATGGACATTCATAATAAGCTCTGCATTGTTTGAGATTACCAGGTCCAGCAGAGCATCATTCCTAGTTGGGGCCTCAATGAACTGTACCATAAAATTGTCCTGTAGTAGTTTTAAAAATGTTTTGCCCTTTAACTGTTCCTGCAGTACCATTACTCCAGTCAATTTCTGGGTAGTTAAAAATCGCCCATTATTATCACTGTTCCAGCCCTTGTAGCACTTTTGATCTGTGCAAGGAGCTGAGTCCCCACCTCCTCAATAACACTGGGTGGCCTATAACAAACTTCAATGATTACTTTTGTAGTATGCACACCCATGTGCAGTTTCCACCCATAATGCTTCAGCCTCATCACACTCTCCATCAACTAGGTCCTCTTTCACACTCACTTTGAGATCACTTCTCACATAGAGACAGACACCACCACCTTTCCTATTTACCCTGTCTCTCCCTAAGAGAACATAGCCAGGAATATTAATGGCCCAGCCATGTGAAGAATGAAGCCAAGATTCAGCAATACCAATTAAATCACAGTTATCTTCATGCACCGAAGTTTCCAACTCACCTATTTTGCTTGGCAGACTTCTGGCATTGGTGAACAAACACTTTAATTCATTGACACTGGTATTTTGCTTATTTTTTATTTTCATACAAATGGTACCAATCCCACTGGTTATTTGTAACATGGGAATCTTCTTATCATCTGCCATAGCCCTCCCCTCATTTTTTTCCCCATCCACCCACCAATAAGTACTGACCCCTGTCTGATCGTACTACCCCATTATAATCTAATTCTCCCTCCCCCCCTTGATCCTAGTTTAAATACTACTCTCCAGCCTTCCCGTAAACCTCTCCCATAACACAGCAGACCCCCTTCCATTTAGGTGCAAACCATCTCTAGCTTAAAGGCTGCACCCCAATGAAAAGTAGACCCAGTGCTCTACAAACCCAAATCTTTCCCTCTTATACCAGGTCTTTAGCCATGCTTTGAGTTCTCTAATCACCCCATGTCTTTCCTGGCACAGGTAATATTTCAGAGAATATCACCTTGGAGGTCCTTCCCTTCAGCTTGCTGCCAAGTTCTTTAAATTGATTCTTATGGGGCATCCACCTTCCATGTATTCTGTAATTGGTTCCAACATGGACCAAGACACCTGGGTCATGCCCAGCCCCTCCCAGTAATTTATCCACCACATGCCGAACCCTGGCACCAGGGAGACAGCACACCATTTAGTTGAGGCAATCCTGGTGACAAATTATTCTATCAGTCCTTCTGATTATAGAATCCCCTACTACCACCAACTGTCTAGGCCTTCCCGTACTACCTTCACCACCCTTTTCAGATGGTCTGCCCTCCCGGCTGTTAGGGATAGCAGTGAAATCCAGGGCTGCCACCCCTTAGCTTGCCACCCCCACATTTTCACCCAACCTGGCAAATCTGGTTGGGTGCACAAACCCAGGGCCAGTGTTCATTTTCTGTGAGCCCCTACCACTCTGTCTCGTTACAGTAACCCATCTTCCTACCTGATAATCCTGATTAACCCCTCCGCCCTCCACATTAATCCCATTAGCTACATGCTCAGAGAGCAGAAGACCCCTTTCAAGGTTGTCAGTTCTGCCTAGTGTTGCACCTTGCTCCTTCAGATCTCTAAAGCTAGTTTCCAGAAGGGCAACCTGCTCACATCTGTCACACCAGTATCCATCCTGGAGCTGTTGCTCCATTGTTGCATACATGCAACACACTATGCACTGCACAAAACCTTCAACTATGCTAGCACACATTATCCCAGTTACAATATTAATAGAAAATATCAGTTGTCACTTACAGATTAGTAGACTCCTGTTATGATCTTTTCAACTCTGGTTTTTTTAACTCCACTTATCAAATGTCCACTGTGTCAAAGGTCCAGCAAGCAAAATATAGGCAAGCTAAAGAATGAGCGCTACAGCAAGTTATATAGTACCTGTATAATCTGTGACCAATTAACTCCTCCCCTTAATTAACAGACTGTAAAAGTAAAAGCTTTTAGCAAGACCCAACGAAGAAAAACAACTACAAGCACCAGCAATCACCAGCAGTCTAAAGTAAAACTTTTTCACTCTCCATTCAAATTTCCCACTCTTTTTAGCTATCAGCCAGCAAAAAATGCCAGACACAAATGTGTGCTCTACAGCAAGTTATATACTACCTGTATCACCTGTGACCAATTAACCCCTCCCTTTAATTAGTAGACTGAAGAAAGATAAGGAATGAAAGAAAAAAAATGCTATTTAAAAATTGACAGAAAAAGTGATTTAAAAAAGTAAAAGCTGTGAGGAAAATTCATACGAAAATTCTCAGAACATTCTAATACTGTTCAAAAGATTTTGTTGGGTTTTAACATTTGATTTTGGAATGAGTAGACTTTACTGAATGAAAACCACATACTGTTAAAAATGTGCGCATTCGAGAAAACTTTTACATTGCGCTCCGTCAAATTTTTCCATCACTGCAGCCTAAAAAGGAACATCGGTTTGAGCCACTAATGGTTACAGAAACAATCTTTCTTAGAACATTCTTTTCCTACGAATTTTCTTTAAAATTCTACCCATCTATGGTCAACATTATTGTTCTATAATGTAAAATAAGAACTGTGAGGCCTCATTGAAATAACAAAGGAAGTGTTTGCAGGACAAGATCAATGGGTATTTTCTGCACTTATTAAACAAATATAAAAAAACATTTTCAGTGGTGTATGTTAACAGTGTTAAAACTAAAACAGACCTTGCCAAATTGTCAATTCAAGGAACAGGCGGCTTGCTACTGTACAATATATTAAAAACACATTTTGTATCTTTACATTCACAATCAAAACATACCAACATTTCTGGTAATTCAGGTTAAATTGATACATACTTTTTCATTTATTTGCATTACGTAATATTTTTTAATTTATGTAGTGATAGCAGAATTCCAAACCTCAGACGATGGCCCAAATGTAATCCGCTGTCTCTCCTATACCCATACACAAACATTGGGAATAATTTAACATGGGAGATTGCTACAGAACATCATGCAATACGAAATTCCCTGGCATATAGCCGCACAAGCTACTAAGGCTACTTTCACACTGAGGAAGCTTATTTGAAGCGTTTTTGCAGTAAAATAAGTGTCTGAAAAGCTCACGAAAAACGCTTCCCTACATATGTAAATGTATACCTATGTATGTTTTTCATACTGAGGCGTTGCACTTGCGGTGCGGTGCAAAAAGACCAGCTTGCAGTATCTTTGGGGCATGTTTGGGGAGTTAAAAAAAACACCCCAAAAACACCTTTTCCCATTGAAATCAATGGAAAACGCCTGAAAAATGCCTGAAAAGTACCTAAAAAAAAACTCCACTGAGAAGCGTTTTTGATGCAGTTTTTAAGTCATGTGTCCTTTAAAAATGCTCAGAAAGTGCGGCAAAAGCACAGTAAAAACGCCTATGCGTTTTTGTTTTGCTGGGTTTTTGCGCCAGATCAGTGTGAAAGTAGCCTTAAAAGTACCTCATCTGTTTCTAATTTAACCACCTACCACCCACCATATAGTAATATGACGGACGCAGGGTGGTTCTCTCGTTCTGGGAGGATGTCATATGGAGTCCTCCCATTCTAACCACGCATGCGCGGCTCCCGGAGCGCGCAGCGCGGCGATCGGCGGTGCGCTGTGTCCCTCGGACACAGCGAATCACGATCCACGGAAAGAGCCGAAGATGCCGGCTCGGTCATGTGATCAGCTGTGTCCAATCACAGCTGATCACATGTAAACAGAGAAATGCTGGTTATCAGCATTTCTCTCCTCTCGAGCTGTCAAGCTGACGCTCGAGAGGAGAGGAGAGCCGGTAATCGGCATTCCGCGGAGGGGACATGTACACTGATCATCAAAGCACTGATGATCAGTGTGCCCTGATGATCAGTGTAGCCCCAGCAGTGCCACCTGTCAGTGTCCATCAGTGCCAGCTCTCAGTGCTCATCCATGCCACCTGCCAGTGCCCATCAGTGCCAGCTGTCAGTGCTCATCAGTGCCTCATGCTAGTGCCCATCAGTGCCACATCAATGCCACATATCAGCTCCTACCAGTGCACATCAATGCCACATATCAATGCCAATCAGTGCCACCTATCAGTGCTGCCAATCAGTGCCACCTATCAGTGCCAGTCAGTGCTGCCTATCAGTGCAAGTCAGTGCCGCCTATCAGTGCCAGTCAGTGCCGCCTAACAGTGCCAGTCAGTGCCGCCTTTCAGTACCCATCAGTGATGCCTGTCAATGCCCATCAGTGCCGCCTACCAGTGCCTCCTCATCAGTGTCCATCAGTGCCACCTATCAGTGTCCATCAGTGCAGCCTATTAGTGCCCATCACTGCAGCCTCATTAGCGCACTAAGAAAAAACTTTTTTTTTTCAAAATTTTCAGTGGTTTTTGTTTTTTTTTTTCAGATTAAATACCACCAAAATAAAGCTCTATCTGTCACAAAAAAAATTATAAAAATTTCATATGGGTACAGTGTTGCATGACCACGCAATTGTCATTCAAAGTGCAACAGCGTGGAAAGCTGGAAATTGGCCTGGGCAGGAAAGTTGTATAAGTGCCCTGTAGGCTTGTGGTTAAAGCTGTACTTCATCCAGTGCTGAATACACAGTAACGCTAGGTTCACATCTCCACGTTCCGGCATTTTGCGTGGGCATGAGAGCCCATTCATCTGAATGGACTCCCGTGCCCTGGGACACACAAGGAAGAAGTCCCTGCACTTCTTCGGAAAACGCAGCCCGCACTGGAACCTCGGTTCCCAGTACGGTTGCGATTTCCAGTGCGGGCGGCATGCCATTAAAATTAATAGCACCCTCCCGCAGGTCCATTTCTCTGTGTGGGTGGTGCGGCTGCACGGATTTTTGTGTGGATTTGCAGCGGCACCACCCGCACAGATGTGAACCAGGGGTTAAAAGTGACATCATGATGAGGGTATTGGTCAGTGCAAGTAAAGACTGCAGCACTCGAACAATTGTTTCCACTCTCAGAGGCACTAGTGAGGGATATGGTGAACTAAGATGAGTAGGAAAAAGACTTTAGAGTGGGTTCTTGTAACAAAAAAAAAATTGTGACTGAGTAAGAGCGCAACGCAAAAAGGCAAAGGTAAAGGGAGCTAGAGATGGCATATGCTGTAAACCAAAATTTTGATTTTAGTTTGCTTTCTCAATTATAGGGCTACAAGATGGACTACAATGATATGATTACAGTTGAATGCAGTGTTTGGGACCTCCTGGAACCTTGCTATTGAAAAATATGTTGTTTTAGAAGTCAACAGGGTACATAACAGCCCAAACACTTCACAATTTGATTTTAAAATCTCTTTTTTATATTTACAAATTTTTTATATTTTTTCTAGGGGTCTACCTAATACATAAAAGAAAGCATTACACATTTGTTGGCAAATGTAAACGCATTTGCACAATTACATGTTTGGCAAGAAACAATTTCTATTATAGCACCACTAAATAGCAAAATCTAAGCAAGCTGTCCATAAAAATCCAGCACTGAAATGGGTTAATGGAGGGCAGAAGGGATTTTTTTGCTGTTTCTTCAAATGTTCCACTTAATAGTTGATAATTTATTTTAATCTGATATCAACATGCAAGGCATTGCTCATTTCGAAAATCCAGGGGGTGCACTTAACACTGCTTGGCAATTTAACCACATACAGATAATGGAAAGCTATAACGAAGATTCAGTTTTAATATGTAAAATTAAATATAACTCAAGTTTACTGTACAAATTTTTGCTCCCACTGTGTAAGCATGTTTATAGCAAATAAGTATATATTTTCCCATTGAGTGTTATACTGTCTAATAGAAACATCCATACAATGCTGTAAATCTGTTTTTAACCATTCTTACTTCATATGCAGAAAATCTTTTAGTCTCTGTTGGCTAGGCATTAAACATAAAGGGTTTTCACCAAAAATGAAAAACATATATTATTACGCATTTTCAACTCATCTATTTTCATATGTTGTCCTAAGATGTACATCTGAACACATTTACCAGATGAGGGCCTTGTCACGTTGCAATGAAAACAGGTATACAACAGTTTTTTTATGGGTTTCCATTGATTTCAATGGGCCCGTTGTTGCATTCTGGCACATCAAAATGTGTGAAGATCAATAGTATTGTGTATGGCTTGAATCTATCACTGTTCAATTGTAACCTCAATTATATACTGACATGCAAATTTTACAACATATAATACATTATAGGTCCACATTCTTAAATTTTGGATGCCAAGGGAAAGAGTTAAAAACTCTCTTGAGTTGTTTTTTTTTTTCCTCATTGGGAATATTTCCACTCCTAGTCTATTATAAGGGTCTTGGACAACAGGTTTGGAAGGGAAATGTCCTCTTTGAAAAATGTGTAGGACCACATCATGCATGTGGCAGCTAGACTTGTGGAGGATTCAACAATGATCACTTAATTGGTATAAGGCATAATATATAGTAAATGCATTTTGGGGGGGTAGAGCCCCATTCCCCCAAACCATTTTGGCTATAGTTTACGACTTACATCAGTAAAGTGCTGATTGTTCTCAAAACCAGCTGGAGTTTTTCCTATTGCCTCATGGTGCTCCTTACCTGTCCCCACAATTGAAGCATAGGCTATATTACTTTTTGTAGTAGTGTGGGAAAGATAAGGACCTATGTAAATTTTTTATTGCTGTCTGTTTCCTGCTGAGGAGATTACCCCACTATTTAGGTGACCATTGTTTCAAGTGAGGGAAATCTTTCCAAAACAGGATCTTTTGCTTGAGTTGGACTTTACATTTTAAATGCAGCAAATACTCATATAAGACATATAAAAAAGAAAATTCTTACCATAAATCCACAGACAGGATGGGGAATTCACCTATAAAGTACAAAAAGCTAGGTATTATTATTAATAATATTATACAGAAATTATATAGCACCAGTGTTTTACAAAACAATGGGAGAAAGTACAGTTACAATACAATTCAATACAGGATGATTATTAGATGGCCCTGGTTATGAGAGCTTACATTCTAAATGGAGGGGCAAATGATGGAGAAAGAAATAAATGCAGTGTTTAGGTGGAGGCAGGATAGACTTCCCTGATAAGATGAGTTTTCAAGAAGTGTCTAAAGGAGTGGAAGATTGGTGGAGATGTAGGTTTAGGGGTGTTCCAGAGGATGGGAGAGGCACTGAAGAAGTCCTGGATGAGAGCACAGGAGGAGCTGATGAGGGGTAAAACAGTAGAATGAGGCAACAGCAGTTGGACAATATTCTGCAGCACACAGTGGCCCCTCAATCACCGGCATATTGGTAATACTCTTTCCGAACACTATAACACACAACAGGTATGTTATATATGAAAACTGGTGCAAGAAAATCTGAAAACCTAAAAATCTTACTGGTGGACCAGTCATTTGCATCCTCCGAACACATTCCTTACCACACTAATGAAAGATAAAACCTTTCTCCAGCTTTCATATATCAGCACCAATGTCTTTTATAAAGTGAAACCAAGAACACTTGTATAAGTTCTTGCTAGCCTTGAGCACAGACTTATTCTGGCCTTGAGGTCCTTCTCAGTTGTCATAAAAGTAATGAACTTGTGAAGAAAAGCTGATGCTTCCAGAAAAGTCCATATATATTTCAATCTAGACAAATGCAATTGTCACAGTATTTAGTACATGTCCAGTACTGGAACACATTTAAGAATTGTACTGAATTTAGAGTAGGGCTGTACAATCTAAGAAGAAAATGCTAGACCTTTCTTTTATGATGCATGCACACATGAGTAGCAGAAGGGGAGAGTAAAAAGCAACTTGTGAATTAACTTCCCCTCTAAAAACCTGATGCTCAATGTTACTAGTTGAAATTGTCCTGTTGCTGAGGAAGGTGTTGCTCCAATTAACAATGCAATATATTATGTCTTAGTATCAAATGATTGGAACACCTGTCAGGTTTTTATTGCTGTCGCCATTAGGGGGATTCATCCTTTCTATTTGACCTGGAAGTTGTTAACACAGAAAGTGAAAGAAAAGAGAAAATCACACATTTTGAGCTGTCACCAGAACAGAAATAGAGGGGGGGATATTCCCTTGGGGACACTAGCTCTGGTGACCCTGGCAGCAACCAGGGATTTCCTCTCATGTCCGATTGAGGCGCATACAGGAAATAAAGGTAAATCTCATCAATGGAACACAGATGGCAAAAAAAAAAAAAACTGACAGAGGATATAACCATCCATTATTCTATCCAAAATATAAAAAAAAGGTTTGATCTTACTTTAAAGAAACTTTTGCTTGGCCTATTCTCAGATAGAAACTTAAAGCAGACCTTCACGCTCTTTCAGCTTGCTCAACCAAGTGAGAATAAATTCCCCTATCCCAAAGCCTCATGGAATACTGACATTATACATTCCAGGAGGCTTTGGGCAATCTCCACAACACCACACATGCACCAGGCAATTTTCCTACAGCTGGCCACATGATGACATCAGAAGAGTAGATGGCGTTGAAAGACCTGAAGTGCTGCAACAGAGCAGTGGGGTAAACAAAATGTTGGATTCACTGGGTTTGTATGCTTTTTGGACAAGATAAGAGGCTTAAAAATTTTGGGGGGAGTGCAGTTCCTTATTAAAGCAGAATTAAAGACGATTTCCAGCTTTACTGTAACTTTAAACAGTTTGTTTGGGGCAAGCTGGGAGCACTGTATAAACTGTATGTATCGTCAGCTTCGTACAATATACATCCAAACGGTGAATTTACTAAAGGAAAATAGACTGCACTTTGCAAGTACAATTCCTCCAGAGCTTAGTATATAAGGGGAAGCTCTGTTGAGTCCCATCATCCAATCATGTGCAAGTCAAAATGCGGTTTTGTTTTTTATTTTCCTTGCATGTAATTGGGTATTCTTTGTAAAGTGAAGCTTCCTCTCATTTGCTCTGGAGCGACTGCACGTGCAAAGTGCACAGTCTTTTCGCCTTTAGTAAAATCAAAACCCTTTTATTCCAGCTATGGGACACAAACATCCATTTCCACACCTGGTACAATACTGAGTCAGGCTGAGTGATGCTGAGCCATTCATAGACAGCTCGAATACTCTGAATGAATACAAAGATTTCTCTGATTGGCTGAGGTGGAAAGGCAGGTCGA